GGATGGAAACCAGGTTACTTAGGTCCCAAATGTTACTTCCAGTTTACTGTGATGTCTGCCCAGACTTCCGTTTTTAACCAATACACTCTGCAATATTGGTTCCTATACTAAACCGAGAATGCGACTGAGTTTAGGACGAGAGGATACTTTTAACTTCTGGAAATCAATACTTTTGCTAAAATTAAATATTAGAAAACCCAGAATAAGAAAAATCTGGAAAGGTCCTGGGATTTCAGTCAGTCTTACCAAAAAATGATAATCAAAGTTAGGGAAAATGTGAGGGGTGTTCAGGATTTGACATAAAGTTTCCAGTTTAATCACATATGTGTGTTTGTTCTGAGCAAATCTAAAATGTTGTGGTGTTGTCAGATTAGCTCTTTATTCCAAACAAGCAAGAACAATGATAGTATCTCAGTGATCTAAACAAGCCTTAAATGAGTCCAAACCCTATAATGCCTTTCCAGGATTTAATAATATTCAAGTAAATACAAAGAATTATAAGAAAATTGGTAATTTTCAGTTGCCTCAATTAGTCAAATAGCTTGACTTCAAATACCCCAAAAATGCTATTTCAAAGGAAATGTAATGCCTTTGGAAGTCTTGATGAGTACAACTACAAGATATTCTCAAGTTTGATGAATTTAAGAGGCAAATTAGAGGTCCAGAGCTAATGCTACATAGATAATAACACAAAATAGCACCATCAATAATTAACTATAATGTTAAATACTCCTGTACCATTAATTTGCCACAGACAACACTGATAAAGGGATCTAAACATACAAGATGACATAAACAGATAAATTCACTTTTAATGGCTCAAACCTGAGGTTTTTAAAAAATTTTTTGTATTTTAAAGATTTTATTTTTTGAGAGAGAGAGAGAGAGAGAATGAGAGAGGGAACACAAGCATGGCGAGTGGAAGAGGGAGAAGCAGGCTTCCCCTTGAGCAGGGATCCTAATGTGGGACTCAATCCCAGAACCCTGGGATCATGACCTGAGACAAAGGCAGCTGCTTAATGACCAAGCCAGCCAGGCACCCCAGCCCTCTGAGTTTTAAAACAAAGTCGTAGAAGCAAGACTATTAATGTCAAAGCTAAGTCATTTAATAATATATCCCACTTACTTTAAAATTGGTTCAGTATGGAGTCTCAAAAGGAAAATAACAGTTTACTGAACTGCTTGCTGATATCTGCACTGAAAAATACTTTTCTCCATAAAAAGGACATAGCCACCAAAGAAAGTTCATTTGACATAAATTCTTAAAAGGTATGGACTGTAAGTTTTACTATTAGGCAAAGAAGACATCCAGATGGCCAACAGACACATGAAAAAGTGCTCCACATCACTCGTCATCAGGGAAATAAAAATCAAAACCACAAAGAGATGCCACCTCACACCAGTCAGAATGGCTAAAATTAACAAGTCAGGAAACAACAGATGTTAGTGAGGATGCGGAGAAAGGGGAACCCTCCTACACTATTGCTGGGAATGCAAGCTGGTGCAGCCACTCTGGAAAACAGCATGGAGGTTCCTCAAAAAGTTGAAAATAGAGCTACCCTATGACTCAGAAATCGCACTACTGGATATTTATCCTAAAGATACAAATGTAGTGATCTGCAGGGGCATATGCACCTGAATGTTTATATCAGCAATCTCCACAATAGCCAAACTATGGAAAGAACCTAGATGTCCATCAACAGATGAATGGATAAAGAAGATATGGTATATATATACAATGGAATACTAGGTAGCCATTAAAAGAAATGAAATCTTGCCATTTGCAATGATGTGGATGGAACTAGAGGGTATTATGCTGAGCGAAATAAGTCAATCAGAGAAAGACAATTATCATATGATTTCTCTGATACGAGGAATTTGGGAGGCAAGACAGGGGGTTGTTGGGGGTAAAGAAGGAAAAAATGAAACAAGATGGGATTGGGATGGAGACAAACCATTAAGAGACTCTTAATCTCATGAAACAAACTGAGGGTTGCTAGAGGGTGGAGGGGTAGGGATAGGGTGGCTGGGTTATGGATGTTGGGGAAGGTATGTGCTATGGTGATTGCTGTGAAATGTGTAAGCCTGATGATTCACAGACCTGTACCCCTGGGGCAAATAATACATTATATGTTAATAAAAATAATTTTTAAAAAAGGTATTGATTGTAAATATCAGTATATTTCAAAGGATGTCAGCTCTTTTCCACACTAGCCTCAGAAGTGTCCTTTCACAATTCTTTGCAAAAGCCAATCTACAGTGTCTAGCGAAGATGTTAGCATCCATCTGCAATAGGACCCATCAATTTTAGCCCAAACAAATGTAGAGTTGACCCCTGAACAAAGCAGAGGTTAGGGGCACCAACCTCAACCTCCCCAACCCCACAGCTGAAAACGCACATGTAACTTTTGACTCTCCCAAAACTTTAGTAATAGCCTACTTTTGACTGAAAGCCTTACTGATAGCATATGTAGTTGATTAACACATATTTTGTATATTGTACGCATTATACACAGTATTCTCACACTAAAAGCTAGAGAAAGCAAAATGTTATTAAGAAAATCATAAGGAAAATACATTTACTGTACTATACTGTAAAAAATTCACATATAACTGGACGTCTGAAGCTCAAACTTGTGTTAAGGGTCAGTGGTATTATGGACCCAGCATACAAGTATTTATATGTTCTTTCTCAAAGACTGAAAATTAGTATTACCTCATACCTCTGCATATGGTAGAAGTTCAAATACTATATTTACATTCAGCTTAGCAGAGCAGGAGTTCACAAATTTTTTTCTGTAAAGGGCCAAATAATAAATATTTTCGACTTTGTGAGCCTTATCATCTCTGCAGCTACTCAACTCTGTATTTTATAATTTTTGTTAAAGATTTTATTTATTTATTTGACAGACAGAGATCACAAGCAGGCAGAGAGGCAGGCAGAGAGAGAGGAAGAAGCAGGCTCCCTGACAAGCAGAGAGCCCGATGTGGGGCTCGATCCCAGAACCCCAGGATCATGACCTGAGCCGAAGGCAGAGGCTTTAACCCATTGAGCCACCCAGGCACCCCTCAACTCTGTATTTTAGCACAGAAGACAATATATAAATGAGTGAGCATGGCAGTGTTCCAATAAAACTTTTTAAAACTTTTTTCAATTTTTTAAAATACTTTTATTTATTTATTTGACAGAGAGAACACAAGCAGGGGTTAGAACAGAGTGAAAGGGAGAAACAGGCTCCCTGCTAAGCAGGAAGCCTGAGGTGGGGATCCCTGGGATCACGACCTCAGCAGAAGGCAGACACTTAGCTGACTGCCCCCCAATAAAACTTTATAAAAAATAAATGCATCTGGGGGCAATGGTCATAGCAAATCTGGTCATAGTTTGGCCACTTCTGTACTATGCCAATATAAAAGCCAATGGAACCACAGCATGTAAAAGGCAGCTTGGTGAAAGAAGTTATGCTACGTATACATGTTTTCATCTATAGAAGTCTGCAACTACTATAGTGTCTGGTAACGAATTTATCTCAAACTCTTCCTTCTGAATCATTTAATGGTCAGCCAATAAGAGTTGTAAAGCTCAAATTCTGAGGAGACTGATAGAACATGCTTCCAAACTGATCAATAAATGCTTCAAAAGCTGTTAAATTTCACCATACTGGAGGGCAATGTAGTCTAATAAAGAAATTACCAGCCAAAACAATGCAATGGGAACACTAAATGCTCTCCAGTTATGTTTATGCAGTAAAAAAGAATGCTGATGAAGGACTGAAATTTAAGTGTATTATAAAATGCAGGCCCAGTAGAAGTTTTTAATCTCCTAATTATTTTTTTAACTTTTATGCTCATATCTCCTTCTTAAAAAATACTATAAATTATTATTTTATTTTATAATTCAGGTGGGTATTCCCAACCTCCTATGCTGTTTACTCTTTACTGTAAATACGTAGGGTACTGTAAAATCACAATTATCATGCTATTTTTATGACTCAGATATACAGCATTTAGGATTGAGAGAAGGAATCTAAGGCTAAGTGTTCCCAGAGGGTAGGTGGGAAAGGAAAGGTCACATGTTAATTTGCTACCAACCTTTTATATTACTATGAAGTTTGTAGAGATTTTTCTTTAAGTTAAGGCCGGGGTTTCTTTGACCTATTGAGAAATTTAAAAACTTGCCCTTCAGCGGCTGCCTATTATTTTGTATAGGTAAGCATTAAAAAAAAAAAAAAAAAAAGAGTAACAGGTTAGAGTTTGCTGCTGTACTGATCTCAGCAATAGATTACGGCAGCGCTTCAGAGTCATGAAAATTAGGTTTTAGTCAAGTTGGCCATTAACTGGCTGGCTGGTCATGCGCGAGGTAGTTTCTCCAACTTGGTGGACCTTAGTTTCCTCATCAGTAAAGTGAAGAGAATGTGCTTTACTAGCTATTCTCAAAGGCCTCTTCCAGCTCTAGTATTCTAAGACAGCTAAGATATAAAGTCACCTACTATCAAGACACCTGCTCTCACATTTGAGCCGGGGAAAAGAGAGGCGAGGACTTAATTCTTTCGCCCCCCCCACCCATCTGTGGTCCTAGCCCCAGACACTAAAGTGTTCCCTCCCAGGATCTCCTTTCTCCAGCTTTTCCCTACTCAGGACAGAGAAGGCTCTCCCGTTCTCGCAATAATTCCAGTTCTCCTCCTTCTCACCCGGGTGTTTACCCATCATCACCCTCAAGCTCAAACACGCGCCGACTCCCCATAGCCCCTTGAACTCTCTCTGCTCCCGCGGGAGTCACCAGAGCCGAGAGGAGCGCGCGTCGCCCCTCTGTTGTGGTCTCCTCAGTCCCCGACTTTGTCCTCACGGATCCCCTAATAAGCAACTGTTCCGACGCGTTTCACTAAAGAACTTCCCCGGCGACAGCCGGCTCCACAGCAAGCTCAGCGGTTCCCGCCGCTTCCCCTCTATCCCGTCCGCCCGTGCCGAGGGGTCATTTTGTAAGACCAGGGAACATGCCCTACCTGCTTCCACCAAGCCCTCGGTTTCCGAGAAGTCGGAGACCCTTTCCCAAATCCTCTCAACTTGCTGTAGCAGGGTTTCTCCTCTCCTGAACAGGAAGAGGCAATAGTTTAAGCCGCGGGGGCCGGCGGGGGATGGAGTTCTGAGCGCGTTAAGTCCGCCTTCGCTGTCAAACCTCCCGCCCCTGGGGACTACAACTCCCAAAGGTCTCTGCGAGAGCCACCACGCCTCTCGCCGCAGAGCCGCGTTCTTCAGCTTTGGAAAGGCGGGGCGGTTCAGGTTCGCAAATCTCATCTCTGCTCAGTGATATTTGGCGTTGTGTGAGATGTTTGCCTGACGACCAAAGTCGCCTAGAAGAAGAAATGCCATCTCTTGCAGTCCTTACACCTCCAGAGGTTACCTAGGAAGGGGTTGACGTGACATCTCCATCTAGAGCTGACCTCCCATTATCAGTGTCTTCTCAGGCTCTTCTGGCTTGTGTTCTGTACTGTCGTCACGTGCCTGAATCCCACGGACAGCGAGAGAAACTGGTTTGAAAAATGTTGAGTTGGCATTCTCACTCTTTTGGCTGGACACTTAATTTGTTGTTGTTGTTCTGTTTTTCTTTCTTTTTTTATTATTATTCTTTTAATGCGTTGACAAATTCGTCCCTAGGCGAAAAGAGGGGCTTTGGGAGTATTTTAACCCATTCTTCACATCCCTAGTACTTTCAACCAAAGCCCCCCCGGGATTAACCTGTAATCTAAGTAAAATTAGTGTGCTTGTTGTAAAAAGTCAGCTCAATCAAAGTCCCTTGGGAAGCATATAGCAACACCTAAGGGCTTCTTATATAGGAAGCCAGTAGGTTGTTTTTTTTTTTTTTCCTTAAGAAAAACAACCAGAAGAAAACAAGAAATGCAATGGGCTAAGGAAACCAAATTAACGATTCCAAATTTAACAGCTAATATTGAGTGCCAAGCACTTTACATACAATACTTTAAGTCTCTACCATGATTGTAGAAGTGTGTATTATTCCCATTTTACAAATAAGGAAATAGTCCTATAGAATTTAAGTAACTTCCCTAAGGCCAAACAAGAAGTAAGTTGCAGAAGAGTCAGACTTCCAACTGAGGTCTTATTTCAAAGCCGGAGTTCTCAAACACCATCGAACACTCCCTGTATTACTGAGGACTTGACAACAGACAGATGATACAATGAATATTGCCTTTATGACAGGTAAAATTTATTTTGCTAATGGTGTCCTTATTCCAAACTTTTTGCAATTACTCTTTTACCTACCTTTAAATAAACATTCTTGGGGCACCTGAGTGGCTCAGTGGGTTAAAGCCTCTGCTTTTGGCTCAGGTCATGATCCCAGGGTTCTGGAATCGAGCCCCACATTGGGCTCTCTGCTCAGTAGGGAGCCTGCTTCCCTCCCAACCCTGCCTGCCTCTCTGTCTACTTGTGATCTCTGTCAAATAAATAAATAAAATCTTTAAAAAAAATAAATAAGCGAACATTCTTTTGATGACTTCAGTGATAGCAAAATTTTCTTCTTTCTCTGCATTCCAGGTTGAGAAAATAATTTTAGGCAAGACCGAAAAGCACAGAATTGAATGGTATGGAGTGACATCAGTGAAAATGGTAAAGGAGGGAACTTCAAAACGTTGCCTCCATAAAAGCAATGAATAAATTGGCAAAACTGCTGGAATCAACTTTTTTTTTTTTTTTTAACTCTGGCATGCAATAATAAGATGTAAAACAACCAGGGAACAGTTAAGAAAAGAATGCTGAATTTTGACAGGAGAGCACCGTGATCATCTCCTACTCTCCAGGTTGGTAGCAGCCTTAAAGATAGTAGCTTATGTTCCTGATGTAGGTTGCTGGTATCGGAGAAAGCAATATGGACCTTATTCTCAAGAAATTTTAATTAAGCATTTTCACCTGTTGGTTTCCTGAAGGTTTGGCTCCAGCGCTTGCCTTTATTTTGCCTGCCTTGGAATGTCCCCAGGGCTGAGGCAGCTTTCTAGGACTTAATGTGTTTGTAAAAAGCATTTAAAATGAACGTATTTGTCACTAAGTTTACTAAGTAGTTAGGTCTAAACAAATTAATATGCATTTATGTCCTAACAACTTAGTAGGCACTTAAAAATATGTTGAATTGAAATTTTTTAAAATATTTTATTTATTTATTTGACAGAGAGATCACAAGTAGGCAGAGAGGCAGGCAGAGAGAGAGGAAGAGAAGCAGGCTCCCTGCCGAGCAGAGAGACTGATGCGGGGCTTGATTCTAGGACCCTGGGATCATGACCTGAGCTGAAGGCAGAGGCTTTAACCCACTGAGCCACCCAGGCACCCCTGTTGAATTGAAATTGAATGAAAAATATTTTATTTCATTCTTAAGTAGCCCAGTTGTTTACTAATGGGAAGTGTACATCTATTGGGCACTTCTTAACTTCTCAAAGCTTGAAGTCAGGTGGGATACCACTGCCCTTGTTTTGTGCTTCACACTAGATTTTGCACACTTTCTTGAGACCATAGCAACCACTGAAAACTCAACTTGGTGGATATGATGTTATCCAAAAAATTAACTTGATCTAATGTTGAAATTGTTAATTATCTCAATGTGGTAGTTCACATGGTATCTGACAGATGTTGCTGTGTTTTCCTCAAAAATTTAAAATACCCTGGGGCACCTGGGTGGTTTAGTAGTCTTGAAGGATCCAACTCTTGGTTTCTGCTCAGGTCCTGATCTCATAGCTCATGAGATCAAGCCCCACACCTGGGCTCCATGCTTAGCAGGAGTCTGCTTGGATATTCTCTCTGCCCCTCCTCCCGTTCATGTGCACTCTCTCTGTCTAAAGTAAAGAAATAAATCTTTAAAAAAATACTGTACTCTGGGGTCCCTGGGAGTTCCCTGTGGTACTCTCACAGTTTGGGGACTGCAGGTCACTAGTCATGATTTCTACAACAAGGATTGTTAAACTTTCTATAAAGGGCCCAAGTAAGTATCCTGGGCTTTGTGGCCATATGGTCTCTGTCATCAATTACCTGATTATGTCTTTATGGCATAAAAGGAGTCAACATAAACAATATGTGAACAAGTGGAGTGGCTGTATTCTAATTTATTTATAGAAACATGTACTGGGCTGGATTTATCCCCAGGACATAGTTTTCTGACCCTCAGCTTAGAAGATGCAAAGTGGAGATTTTTGTGTATTAGTTGCAGTTTTCCTAAGGAGAAGAGTATTTTCTCAATGATTTGGTTACCCCAAGTTGAAATGTGTTTGAGAAATGTAGTAGAAACACTTGCATCTGGGCACCTGGGTGGCTCAGTCAGTCAAGCATCTGCCTTTGGCTCAGGTTGTGATCTCGGGGCCCTGGGTTGGGCTCCCTGCTCATTGGGGAGCCTGCTTTTCCCTATCCCCCCATGCTCTTTCTCACTATCTCTCTCCCTGTCAAATAAATTATTGCTTTAAAATAAAATAGAACAGAATAATTTCAAGTTTACAAAAAAAGTTGCAAAGGTAGTGCAAAGAAATCCAATATATCCATTACTCAGTTATCAATTGTTACCATTTTGTCATATTCATCTTCCTCCCTCCTTCTGTTTCCTCACTTTCTCTCTCTCTCTCTCTGAATACATATTTTCCCCTAAACCATTTGAGATTAAATTGCACACCATATGCCTCTGCTTCTAAATTCTTTAGTGTATATTTCCCAAGAAAAGGGTTTTCACAGTATAATGGTCAAGACTAGACCTTTTAAAAATTGGTACAATGCTCTTATTTAATTTATAAGCCTATGGCAAATTTCACCAATTGTTTCAATAATGTCCTTTATGAGATATTTTGTTCTGGGTCTTTTTTCCTCATCCAGAACCCAACACAGGATTGGTCACGTATCGCATTTAGTCTTCAAGTCTCCTTAGGCTCCTTTATTCTGGAATGGCTCCTGAAGACTTTCTTTTTCATGACATAGACATTTTTTTGTTTGGTTTTTAAAGATTTTATTTATTTAACTGAGAGACAGAGTGAGAGAGAGAAAGCATGAGATGGTGGAGGGTCAGAGGGAGAAGCAGACTCCCTGCTGAGCGGGAGCCCGGTGCAGAACTCATCCTGGTACTTGATCCTGGGACTCTGGAATCATGACCTGACCGAAGATAGACGCTTAACCAACTTAGCCACCCAGACGCCCATAACATTGATGTTTTTGAAGCATATAGGCCATTTAGTAAAATGTCCCACAATTTGAATTTACCTAATATTACCTTGTGATTAGATTCATTATGCATTTTTGGTAGGATTAATACATAAGTATTATAGAGTCTTTCTCATGCATTTTATCATGAGGCACATGAAACTAAGATTCTAATATTAATTGCAACATGGGAAGAGTGTTTCCCACACTATCAAATAATTCTTGACACCAACTGGTGTTCTACAATTTAACTCAATTCTAATACTATCTGCCTGGAGATAGTTCCAGATCCATAGGTTAAAGGCTCAGTCCTACATGAATTCCACCCCCCACCCACCCACTCAGACACCCCTTGAAAGTCCAGATTGTCCTTGCGCTTCTGACCAACTAGCTGTATACATCTGAGATTTCCATAAACCTCTCCTTGGGTTTGACTAATTAGCTAGAGTGGTTCCCAGTATTTGGAGAAACATTTTACTTAGTAAATTAATAGTTTACTATGAAAAGCTATAACTAAGGAATAGCCAGATGGAAAAAACGCAGAGGGCAAGTATGGAGAAAGGTATGGAGTTTCCATGTCCTCTCCAAGTTCACCATTCTCCTCAAATTGTGAGGAGAAGTTCTATTCCAGGTTGTTCTCACCAACCTGGAAGTACTCTGAACTCCATCCTTTTGGGTTTTTAAGGAGGTTTCTATTACACAGATACTATTGATTAAATCATTGGCACCTGGTGATTGAACTCAACCTCTAGCCCCTCTCCTCTTGCCAGAGATGGAGAGTGGGGTAACTGAAAGTTCCAACCCTCTGAATACCTAGTTGGCTCCACTGGCAAGCAGCTCCATCCTTAAATATGGTACAAAAGTCACTTCATTAACACAGCAAAAGAAAAAAAAATCACAGAGCCAGTAGAGATTCAAGGAGAGGGAACTATATGAAGACACGAAAACTAGAGACATAGTTCACTGAAGAACTTGGAAACTAGCTGTCAATGATGACCAATATGTACCTGTGGTACAATGATTTATATTGAGAAATATATATTTGGTCCTTGACCTCTTTCTGGCACAGAACTAAAACTCAGAATCTCCTAAGTGATGGGAATGATAAAGATATATAGGAAAGATAAAGATAATGATAAAGACTTCATGTCTGTGTAGTGACTTTTGTACC